TCAAAGGCTTTTTTATGATTTTTGGAAGATCCATTAAGTTAAGATTACTTACTTTCAAAATTCAGAAGTTGATTAACCTGATCAAGTATTTTATCATTCAGATAACTAATAATTAATCATTAATAAAATTACCACATGTTCTTTATAAGGCATAAAGTGTACGTTAGTATAAATCACTTGAATGAAAACGATCAGGTTTAGTGAATAATCTATAAAAGCCCTAATTAATAACTAATTATATCATAAATAACAAATCAAATAAACGTATTTGTTTCAGATCTTACTAATCTATCCAGTCTATCCATAGACATAGTATTCACGGATTAAAAACCTAATGCAACTAAACAAATAGAAAAATATAAATGAATAAAACACAAATATTCATTTATTTGTAAATGATTCTTATTCGTTTATAATCCCATAAATTTATTACAATCCGTATATCTTCAGACAACGATCGATAAGGAGTATAAAAGATATTAAATCGAGGACAAGTAAAATATCTCAGACAACAGAAGTTTATAGCGTGATACAAACAGATAATAATGCAATTACATAAAATATTTTTTAGAGAAATAAGAACGAAATTTACTCCCTTTTAATTTGCATAATTTAGAGTAGCCACTTAGTAAATATATCTTCGAATATAAACATAGACACATATTTACCTATTATAATATATGGAGAATCTATTAATTAAAGAGAAATTTTCAATCATTCTAAAAAAATAGAGGAAACTTTATTGTGATCTAAAGTAATTACTTATATTATCATCATGAATGATAGTATACTTAAATTTTACGAAATTTTGAAATCATTTCATCTACTCATTTTTATAATAAAAATATGTGAGATGAATGTTGGCTAGCAGTGGAGCCCGGTAAGAGCGTTCTATTCTATTTGGAACTCAACAGCTGGATGTACTTGCATCACAGAGTTGATATTCACTCCGGAACTGGAACTCAGTATTGTTCTCTTCAAATGTCACTGTGTTATCCTAAACATCAATGAAAAGATTCAAACAACCAATAAAATAATGCATTAAATTTCACCCTATTGGACAAGTTATTGGCTATCTGAACTCAGTAACTAAGTGGATAACGCGATAACGTTTGGAGCAAACGGTACTGAGTTTAAATCACGGATATTCTTATTCCAACAAGAGACCGATCACTTGCAGTCCTAAATATCAATGAGAAGAACCAAACAACCAGTAAATAAAAATCAGGAAAATCATGGCTCAGGTATAATTTTTTTCATTACAATTTGAAGACATATTGTAAAACTGACATTATGAGGGACTTGTTCTAGCACCTCATACATACGCTTCTATACAGTACTACTAATTCTAGCTGTGAACTAAGTACCATTAAATAACTAGATCGCTTTTTGATGGTTTATACTTTGGGACTCAGCCGACTGAGACCTACTTGATTTTACTTGATAATGACTTTTGAAGTAGATAAATTCTGCAGGAAGATTTTTGAATAAGTTATGGAAATCACAACATTCATTTAAAGGATTATGGAATAACTACTGATTTGTTTTGTTTGCTAACCATTTCAAAAAGAAAACTTTCCAATATAACAATCATTACTTCTAAATATAATTAATTCAACATTGATTGAATTAAATTTTACTCAATAAATACATTCTAAGCTCAATAATGCTGTTACCATCTTCTAATTTAAAAGCCAACAAACTGTTTTAAATCGTTTGAATAACCAACAACTATGGATTCAGTGAATATTTATTTCTTCAAAGATAAATAAAATGATAAAATAACTTATAATAATACAAAACTATTTATTTTAATATTTTCTGTTTTTTGAATGCTTTAATAACATAGTAACATTTCATAACAAAGAACTTAAACATGTGGTGTAGAATAAAAGGACTAAACCTAATTAATCAACATAGTAGTAAAAACAAAACAAACAGAGCCCAACAACTTTGCACACTCATCATTTATAAAAAAATTTAAAAAAAAAACGGAGTGAAATTAATCGAAACAAAAAGACCTTTAGTGGAATATGTGTAAGGGATTCTGTTAAATAAAAAAACGTTAATTGTATTTATTTAATTAAAAAAATAGAACGAAAAGTTTGGTCAAATATATATTTGCATAGTTTACTCAACACAGTGATAATCAAAATAGAATATTTCCCAATATTGATAGGTACGTTCTAATAAATTCACGACAATTTCTACAAACATGAATCAAAGACTAATAATTAGAATCAAATGGCGATATTAATAGGATGGGAATTTAAAATTTTGAGTGAAATAAATCTATTAGTATTTGTAGATACTAAATTAACTATCTTGATGTAATAAAACCACATAGTAAGTTATGACGAAAACATCCAAGATTTACTCAGAAGAATTCTTCTATTCATAGTTCTGTATTTTAGTAAAATCGAATTGTTTTTTCGTATACATACAGAGTTTATTGAGTCTAAGTTCTAGATTTTCAGATATTCAAACGTAGATTAATTTTTGTGTTGTTAATAGGTAATCTTCGTCATGTACAGATTTGACCTAACTAGCTAGCAATATTTTGTTTGGACGAATCAACTAGCGTAAATTAAATGTATTATAATTTTTGAAATAACGTAGTTTTTTGTATCAGTCTGCCATCGCGATCGATCATTACGAGTAGATAATCACGATAAGTCAGACAAATAAGCAATATTTCAATAAGAAATCATACTGTTTATAAACATTGACAAGTGGTTGTTTTGCACATAGAAATATTCGTTTTAAGAATATTATTATCAAATATATTAATCATAATCATGACGATCCTATAAAATCAAAGCCAAATTTATTTAGGAATATACGTATTTCGACTATCGTGACAATATTCCTATAAACCAGTTTCTAATCATTTTTACGATTTCTAAGTTGCACAGAATTATTTATCTATTAATTAATGTCGAAATAATTATACAAAGAACTAAAATGTTAGATATTCATGAAACTAACTCAAGTTGTTTGTGTCATAAATGAATCAACAAAAATAAATATAAACAAATTCAACCAAATTTTCATATGGGAAATTTATGAAGGGTCATAAATGATCTGAACGTTACTACACTGTTGATTTTTAGGTGTCGAGAACTGTGAGGATAAGGAATAATACTAAGTCATCCGACCGACATGTTCTAACTTCAGGATAAACTTCCCAAAGAGTGTCTATTCAAGTAAACAAGGCTCGATCAATTAAATAGTCTTAGTTTTTTTTAACTTGAAGGTCAATATGCTGAAGATATATACAGTCAAACCTATTTCCTAGAAAGGAAGGTGATATAACAGAACGAAACGGCAAAACCATGTTTTTAGCACATTATGTCTTTTATCAACATTACTTCCGTTTTAACTCAAGGGATGGTTATTCAGTGTAATATGTTTTTTATTCTTAGCGTGATATTCTTTTAAGTGTAATATTGATTTAGTTCAGTATTCTTTGAATTACTGCAGTATTAAATTTATTCAGTATGACATGTAGCTAGGGTTTTTGTAGTAATTCCTTGTATTTTCCCCACATGTGATAATTGTGAATTGCTCAAGTACGGGTAAAATCAGTATATAAATCAGTTTATTCATGTATAATTATGATCTATTTTTGAGGCCAGATGAATCCATGACACTAGTCTTTGTGTGTTTCTCGACATGTCGTGAGATTAAGATTTTCAGTACCAGGAGCAAGCCAGTTAAGCACTCAGCAAACATAGCAAAGACTGACATAACAGAGAAAACCACAACAGTAAAACTTTGTAGAAATTTAATTTAAGAAATTTATTTATTATAGACGAAACAAGATGGTTTAATTAGAATTCACCAGTTTTCACGTATTTACGTGATGTACAAACCAACGAAAATGTAGTTAAGTTCTTAAATTATTTTTGTTCTGAAAGATGCAACGTTTTTCTGGAAACTAATTTTCTATAGCATATCTCAAGGGTATTACGATAAAGCTACAATTGAACGATTACTTGTCACACATCTATGGGGATATTTTCGCATGTAGTATACATCCATCTTCCTTTTACTGCCAAAATTCCTGAACATACAACTCTTTTTTATTATAATTAACTTAATTTAACCGTTACATTTATTGGTAAATCTGCTACATTTTAATGTAACCATGTAAAACAGAAAACTCCTACTGTCTATGGGCTAAATTGGAGGATGGAAACTTAACATTTTGTCAACTGTCAAATCTATTCGATTCATATCTATATTATTTTGTTTTCTTCCGTAAAAAAGATTACATTGCCTTTGTGAATGAACAACAACCAATTGATAAGAATAGCTTGACTAAACAATCTTCGTGAAAATGAATTGTCATTATTACACAACAATTGTATAGCAATCTACCTATAAAAAATATATTATTACAATGAATCAAAAGACCCCTAATCACAAACTTCGCTCTTCAAAACATAACTACAAAAAGGAAAATCAAAGCTATTTTGGAAGATTTATATAATTACATGTGAAAATCTGTGAAGTAATTTTATAAATCGTAGATTGTATAATTAGTAGCAAGAGTTTGTTTCTCCATATTACAAGATATTCAGGAAAGCATTTTAATTAGCATCTGTCGGCGTATGGGCTCACTGGACGAATCCCTCTTTCTTGCCAGTAGCTGCAAGGTGACTGGAGTTATGAAGTGTCAAATACATAAACAACTTCGAAGTAAGATCACTGTTGAAGTTTTGCTTAACAGGCCCATAAGCCTGCAAAAGGTCCTTAAAATTCAGCCCTGAATATGACCAGCATGAAAACATAAACCCTTAATTCGAGACAAATGTCAAACTATTGTGATAACGAGGATTTGTGAAAGTTACTTTAAATTAGTACTTTGGCATTTTGCTATTATATATCACGGTAAAAGCTTTCGGTTTTAATTATTCGTAAACATTACAACATAACAATAGAAGCGAACAAAACCACCAGTACTAAACTTTATTATCAAAGATAGTAAGACTTACTCAGTACCACCATGAACAGTGGCACAATGTAAGGAATTTTGACCAGCATTATTAAGAATTGTCAAGTCAGGATTATGACGTAATAACAATTCTACAAGAACAGTATTTTGACTTGAAATAGCATCGTGAAGGGGCGTGTCGCCATCACAATCCTAAAATGCATAAGTAAAAATAAACAAATGCTAATAATTAGATTTAAAAGAACATAATACAAAGCTGTAGCTAATGAATTTATAAACAAAAATGTTGATAAAAAACAAAAATGACATAAAACATTCTTTGTTGGCAAATGTTCGGTTACTGAGAATAAATAATAAATGACAGAACTGTGAAAAACGTAATATTAATGTAATGATAAAAATAATATATTTGTAACAATCAACCCAATGCTCAATTTATTCGAAAAAAAAGAAAGAAAAAAATATTAATGTAATGGCTATAAAAATAACTAATGATCGTAAAATACCCCAAGGAAACAAGTTAGATTACTCCTCATATTTCTAAAAGAAATCTTGAGAACAACAGCAAAAATGTCTAAAGTATCAACAATACACAGTATTCACAGTTGACATCCAGGTTATACATGGTAGTATGTAAATTGTGCAGTTTAAATGGAAATTGTATTTTGATTAACTGTTATAAAATTATGTATTACTGATAAGTAAAAAAATGTCAATAGTATTTATTCCTAATTACATTAGGTTTTGTAGAATTAATTTTAAAAATCACTTTTAATACACGAAGTATGAAGCTCATTACATTTTCTATGAAACCATCTTTATATCATAAACATACTGAATGAATTTACTACTATTCATTTTGGAATACAACCTAGATAGGTATCACATTAACAATTGGTAGCATGTTAAATCTCATAAACATGCTATATTATTTAGTTGATAAGTAAAAATTTGAGTCTTCCAACAAATGACCAATCATATCTATTTATAATATCGATTGTTTAATTAAAACTACCGAACAGCTGTAGCACATATTTCGCTTAGATAAGAATCAAGTACTATATTTAAAGAATAAGTCGAATCACAGTAATTTCTATCAGTCACGGGTAGCGGTTTGAATAACAAATATTCTAGAAAATATTTCAGTAGATGGGTTCGAATCCCGCGGGGGGCGGGTTCGTGGATGCACACTGCCGAGGGTCCCATACTAGGACGAAACGGCCGTCCAGTGCTTCCAGGTTTTCCATGGTGGTCTAGCTTCAACTGACTCATGATTTCAACCTGTGAAATTTTCAAAATTCATCGAAATCCCCTTTTCTTACAATTTCATTCCAAAAGCGATACCAGATAGTCTCAGTATTCAGAAAACGGGTACATTACGAAGTGACGGTGAGTAGGTTTGGATAACTAAGAAGTATTAACGAGGAATAAAAACGATAATTAAAGCTGGACTTTTTTCAAATGCATTTTTAGTTAATATGAATAATCCTAACTATCCGCAAATTATGATTACACGTCTTCACATCCCCCCTTGTTGAAAAAATGAATAATTTGCGTTATGAAAATAAGAAAAAAATCAATTACATATTAAATGTATGTGATCTGATGGTGGTATGAGCGGGATTCCCCATATAAGTGAAGAAAGCACAATTAATAAAGTTAATATTTTAATCGATGGATACACAGATATTTTATGCTGATAATTACATCAAAAACATCTATATCCATTTCATCAGGATGTATAACGTTCTTTTTTTTCATTTTTGAAAAAAAGATATATCATATGACCTTTAATTCCAATTTTCTTCTTCATTTTTTGCTTTAAATTCAACATGAAAGTTAATTAAGGATACACAAAATATTACTGACAAGTAAGATAGAGAATTACAAAACTAAGTCATGTATATTTTATTTTTCATTAGTAATTTTGTGAATATATATTTGATGTAGAAAAGAAACTGGAATTTATGGCAATTAAGGAAACAATTTTTTGTAAAATAAAACATCCATAGCGTGTGAAGTAATAAAGATTTCAGTAAATTTTGGGATCCAGTTCAACAACGTGGTTTCATTTTTGCTAATGAATAAAAATTTCGTAAAAAATGAATTTTTAATTTGTTCATTCTAACAATGAATCCTAACTTTCAAAATCCCAGCATTTCAGAAGAACTCGTGCCAGATTATTAAGTCACAAATCGACTCATCAAGCACGTAAATTATCTGTGAATTTACTTGTTTTCGATTTATTTAGATGTATCAAGGGATCAGAATACATGAAATTATATTGATTGGTATTGAAAGGATTGATATTATGCCTTCATTTTGGCTAAATTTTGATCCAAGTGATTGTATATTCGTAATATGCCAGTAAAAAGAAAATAAAATTTCTGACATTTTGCGACTCATTGTAAGCCACTTCTTCAGAGAATAAATAATAAATTTAATAAAATCTCCACAAAAACTCATTCTGATAATAATCAACTGCTCACTAGTGACTGACTTCAGGAGAACCTTCTGGAGTTCTAGTGAGAAGCCGTCACCAGTGGAGTTCAACCAGGTCTGTTGTGAGATATCAGCTCACTGAAGACATTGGTGTTCGATGGCGCAACTTCGTGGATTGGTTGAAGTTAGACATTAACACCGTTGGATGCCGGCTCAGTGGTCTAATGGTTAAGTGCTCGCGCGCGAAGCCAGTAGGTCCTGGGTTCGAATCCCGCAGGGAGCGGGTTCGTGGATGCGCACTGCTGAGGAGTCCCATACTAGGACGAAACGGCCGTCCAGTGCTTCCAGGTTTTCAATGGTGGTCGAGCTTCAACTGACTCATGATTTCAACCTGTGAAATTATTTAGATGTATCAAGGGATCAGAATACATGAAATTATATTGATTGGTATTGAAAGGATTGATATTATGCCTTCATTTTGGCTAAATTTTTATCCAAGTGATTGTATATTCGTAATATGCCAGTAAAAAAAATAAAATTTCTGACATTTTGCGACTCATTGTAAGCCACTTCTTCAGAGAATAAATAATAAATGCTTAATTTTTCTGAAATTACCAAGTTAAACCTCAATAGTGATACCCAGAAATCTATACACTTAACTATTATTTTCAAAGTCCGGGGAAGAAATTAGTGTGTTTCTTATCGCCATCATAAACCAACCTAATATAGACAACCCAAAGAAATTTAGGAGCGATGGACGGCCGTTTCACCCTAGTATAGTACACCTCATTAGTGTGGATTCACAACTCAATCGTAAATCTAATCCAGCACTTTCTGCGCCAAACCTGGACACCCAACCTTCAGACCACTGACTTAGGATCGATCAGTGTAAAAGTCTAGATTCAATCAATCCACACTACTTGACGACTATCTTCCATTGTCTTCAGCAAGTACCTTCCTCTCACCCAACATGGTTAGACCTCATCAGTCACAACTTCTTAAGATGAATCCGAAAGTTTATTCTGATAACATGATTATCATACAATGTTTTGACTAAATAATGTTATCCATTAATCTTATTTTAAACTCTGTTTACCTCCCTCTTTGCTGTTTCTAAATTACCTTACTTAAAAATTAAAAAAAAGTGATTCATACCATTGACAAATACGTAAAACCACAAATGAAAACTACAGAATATTAATTAAAATACTTTTTTTCCATTATCTGTGAATTATTTGATAAAACAGAAATTCAATGTAGAATTGAGAAGAATTTGTATTATATGTGAAATATCATCACGAAAACAAATAGTTCAATTATTAATTGTATTGTATGTATAGGTCAATTCTAAGTTTTTACACTTCATAATTTTAGAATACTTTAGGGAAGTGTATCCTATGAGAAAATTTGTTCAATTAACGAGCGATTCATTTGTCATATAATAATTGATGTGTTCATATTTTCGTGACATTGTTTGTGAGAGCTTTAACTCTTTAGTCACTAAAACAACACTGGGAAAAATGTATAAATGATATGTGTGTAAGTATTTCAAATCACCTAAAAAAGAAACCCTTGACGAATAGCTCAAGTCAAACACATCCAGGTTATATTTCTGAATTAAGCTTTTAGATTAATCTTTGACAAAGAGCTAATATTTCTCTGACTATTTCCTGGTACTGTTTAAACAGTTTCATGTAGAACAGAAAGGTTAAGTAGTTTAATGAAGTCGACAAAACTTTGATAGTTATAGAAAGTTGTAAAAATGTTTTCATCATTTTTTAGAGCATTATGTAGTTTAGAAACATAACGTTACATCAAGCTGAGTTTCCGAACACCTATCAATGCATTTAGCAATGTACTCTCTAACAATCTTATAGGTAGATTCATTAGTTATACAAACTCTCCGGTAGACTCGGCATTATGCGTAGTCGAAAGACAATGACGAATTCCCACATTGTATAGAATTAGCAGTTGTTCGTCATTTTAACCCCAACTTGCATATTCAAAATTAGTTTTTCTCTTATTTACATGGCATCGTTTCAGAAATCAAACGTTAGCTTTAGATCTAGCACTTTTAGTCTTATAAAAATCCACACTGCTCATTATCAAGTTTCATTTAAATACAATATACTTAGAAGCATTTGAAGCAACTAACATGATTCAACTGTATAATTAAATGAATCATTGCAATAAACTCTGTTATTTTCCCACTTATTGTGAATCTTTAAAGCGAATCATTCAGCCTTTGGAAAGGATTTATTCTTGTCATGGAAACAAAATGATAAAAGGCAGTCTTCATGGGAAATGGATTTCAAATGATAAACCAACGTGAAAGAACTACCTTCAGTTTTAAACAAAAATATCAGTCTAATTATAGAAATTCTTCACAAGTCCTCTTGAATTAGTAGTATAGCTAAGCATATTTGACCACGCAAAATTTCATCAGACTGGGTAAATATACAAAACGATGAAGACAGCAAGATTAACCTTCATTGATTATGTTTAAAATGATAGAAAAGGGATAACTTTAAATCCCATGAAGCTTCAGCTAACTGCATACCGTGTAAAGATAATCAGTTAAATAAATTGAAACAAGTTTAGTGGGCCCATTGAATGATTTTATGCTGAAGTAGATATTCAGTTTGATAAAGGCAAAAATTAATCGTATTTTCTTTCATGTAAACGGAAAACAAATAGGTTTTTTCTGTTTAAATTAGCACCATTTAAGTTATAATAAACGAGATTAGGAT